TCCCAACGCTCCGGGTGGGCCACATGTGGGCCACAGAGCTGCAGGACCTCCTGCCAGGCTGCAGAGGGGCACAGCCTGGGCTCCTCCAGAGAGGGATCATGGCACAGCCTGGGATCAGGGCACAGCCTGGGCTCCCCTGGAGAAGGATCACAGCACACCAGGAGATGATCTCATTCTCTTCCCCTTTGGGGCCAAGCTCTGCTGGATCTCCACTGGCCCTGGCTTATCAGCTCCTAGAAGGAAGCTGCCTGTTATGCAGAGAGCATGGATTCCATCTGCCCTTCCACTCCAGTGCTGGATTCAGCCCAAGGTGCTCCTTGTTTCCAGGTGGGGTCCAGCCAAGCCAGCAGTGGAGGGGGATGATGGGGTCTCACAGGGTAACCAGCACTTCCCAGTCCAAGCTCAGGGCATGCAGGAACCCCCTGACCAGCTCCATTCCTGTTCCTGGAGCACAATCCACTCATTTCAGTCATCCAAAATGCAGGCAGCTTTCCTGTTCCCATGCTCCTTAAGGGACAGCTTTACTGCAGGCAGCAGGAGCAGACAAGAGGAGCAGGAGATAAGTACAAGTGTGATGGATGGCTCATTAGCTGGTGAGTGGTGCCATTAATTAATTCCTCTGTCCCTGTTCAGGGGGCACCAACAGCTCCAGGTTTGAGCAGAAGCACTGTTGGCCTCCACAGGGAGCCTGATCCTGAGCTTCCAACTCATCCCTGCACATACAAGGCGGGCTGAAGGTCTCCAGAAACAAGTGTCAAGTAATTGACACTCCATCATTGACATTCCATCCATCACCAACAAACCCAAACTGCAGCAGGCACCAGCAGTGCTCCTGTGGGACACCTCAGGTCATCCCCATACCTCCACCTGCAGTGCTGCCTCCAGCTCTGGGGGACTCAGCACAGGAAGGACATGGAACTGTTGGAGTGAGTCCAGAGGAGGCCATGGAGCCAGGCTGGGAGAGCTGGGGGTGTTCAGCCTGGAGAAGAGAAGGCTCCAGGGAGACCTTAGAGACCTTCCA